ATCGTAATTGTTGTTTTAACAATGTGCGATTTGACATTATCGAGTATTTTGCAAAAAACTTTCAAAACACCACTACAAAGTGCATGCATACATTACGTGAAGTCTAGACTAGTGTGTGTGCGCATTTAGAGTGCATTCTTTCACTAGATGATTCAGGCTACGTCCACAAGCTTCGCCAGAGCTTTCCCTATCCGATCTTTTTTTTTCCCTCGTCTCAGGAAATATCTGCGTCCACACGAAACCGACACAAAACGATGTAGTATACATGCCAGACCAGCATGTGGCGCTGTAATTCTGCCACAGAGATACACTAAAAACGGAGAAGAAGACTTAGACTATACGCATAAACCTTGAGCGTGGTATACAAACGAACATGGAACAATACATTTATTAATCTGTGTTAATTTGTTGGACACTTCATTTCCAGTGATACCGTTGACTTGATTGCAAAGATACTATTTAAACTGAGCTGGATGTTGATGTTCAGTTGCTTTGACACAATCTGTATTGTTAAAAGCGCTATATAAATAAAGGTGACTTGACTTGACTTGACTTGTTAATGTTAGTTAATAAAAAAGACAATCGTTCAGTGTTTGTTCATGTTTTTATTTCTGTTACGTGACGTAGCGGTGTCTGACTAGGGGTGAGACGTGGGCTGATGACGTCATCGTTTCAGAAAATATACGGATTCGCTGTCCACACAAAAACACAAGGGCGGCATTTTCAGATTTATCCACTCTGGGACCCGGTTTAAAAAAAATATCAGTTTCACTCTCCCAAAACGCCGGATCCGTCTGGACGAAACGCCTATACGATACAAAATGTATGCGTATACAGCTAAACGCGTCTCCGTGTGGACGGGGCCTAAGTCTTTTCTGTGACCTTTGATCAATTTAAAGCATCCTTGCTGAATAGAAGTATTAATTTCTTAAAAAAAAAAATGTAGTGATCCCAACTTTATTTGTTACTCTCATAATCCATTTTCATTTTTAATTTCACATTATGATAGAAAGGTTTAATTAGTGACAAGTTCAGTCAGCGAAACATCTTAGAGAAGTAAGGGCAGCTTGACTGTTTAAATGGCAACACACATCCTCAGATGTATTCAATGTATTCAAATATTAAAACTATAATATAAAAATATTACCTAGGCCTAAATCACTCAACCACACAGAAAATAGCATATTTACCAACAAATATCAAGTTGCGGGTGTCATGTGGTATGCCAGCCACAATCTCATCCATAATGCAAATATAGCATTCTGTGTAGAATTCAAATAGCTCTGATACATTTTGTGGTCTGCGCCGACTCCCGCATGTGATCCGCTCATGCTATCGTGTCTCTGGACCGGAGCAGAGTGTGTGTGCGGTGCGGTGGTTAGCGTGACACAGCGCGAAACCAGACTTCTTTTTTTCCTCAATGGAAACGGGCGCTTCGGATTCTAGAGAGCATTTGATTGGACAGAAAGTTTGATGAGAAGATGGAAGTACGATGTGACGTCAAAAAAACCTTGAGCTGTTTTGGTGGAAGTGACGAACTGCAAGCTTTGAATGCTTATATCTTCTAAATGCAAATTTTGTCACTGTTTTGGAGCACACTGCCTTATAGATAACCTTAAGACTAACATATTGATACTAACACCCAAAAAACTTAAATTCTGATTTCATGGGGACTTTAATAACCAATCACATTACAGCCTTGACGTCACTGAATTTCAGTCAGAGTTGTGCGACACTCAATCGCCTTTTACGGATACCATAGGAATGAATGAGAAATGCTGTAAGCTGAATCCCACCTGTCGCAAAAAGTCAGTGACTTAAAACGGCATTTTTTTCGGTGTAAACTCTAAAAATAGTTCAAGTATTGCTTAGTGTAAAACATGTTGGAGATTAGCTGATAGGCTGTTGATTCATTAAATGTTAAGCTGTTTCCTCTAAAAAGCTGTTTATTCAGTGTAGTGAAGCCTCTCCTCCATTGACATCCATTCAAAAAAAAACGGCCTCTGGTCTCCTTTCCCACGTACTGGCAAACCAGAAGCGTTAGCATTAGCCGTTATGCTTTTTTGGCTAAAGGTTGCAGGCTTGCCTTCTAGTGGCTTTGTTACTAGGCATACTAGAAAGGCAGGTGTGTTGAGGCAAGTTGGAGCTAAACACTGCAGGACACCGGCCCTCCAGGAGCGAGTTTGGAGACCCGTTGTACTGGATCACGTGATATAACTTGGCAAAGTTCACCATCTACTGTACAGTTTCTAACCAATACAAGCATTTCTGAATTCGCATATCATTTGATATAAAAAAAAAAATCGTTTAATTTCTTAAAACTTAAAATTAGTCTCTTCATTTTTATATTTTAAATGTTTATATATAAGCAAACGTTGTCAAACTGAGCCATCTCCAATCGAAAAATGCAACTTTAGTAAATCTTTTTAATATATTAAAACATAATTATATTTAGTAAAACAAAGAGATCTAACAAGTCAATTTAAGTTTAAGACAACTTATTGGTTTGATACCCATAACAAATTTTTAGTAGTTGATTGTAATATTAAAAGTAAAGTCCACTTGTCCCCTATTTTCCCCTTGCGTTAAGAACATTTCCTAAAGCTTACATGAAATAAGTGACAACATATCAATAAAATATGAGATGTACAGTAGCAGGTCTTTCATCCTACCTCAAGATGAAATTTGGTCGATCTACTCGTCGTCGCTCTCTGAGGTCTGGGCTCATTGTGTCGTCTATGAACTAGTCAGGTCTGAACAAAATGGCGGCCTTCTGCACGGCATAATGCGGTGTCTCAAAACTATATACAACATGTCACTTTTGAGACTGTGTGTCTATTCAGCGGGGTTAACTCGCAGTTTTGCGGTTGACAGAAGTGTTCGGAGATTTCTGAATGGCGATTATTGCCGCCTGTGTCTCAGATTACGGAGTAATGTTGAGAGACAAATACAAGGTAATGATAAACAGTTTTATTGTCATGCTATCATCTCTCTTGTCCTTCGAATCACACTAAGTCTGTCTTTTTACTTTAGTGTCATTTGTTTTATATCAAGTATATTTAAAATTTAAGTTTAAATGTTCACTGCAAAAAAGTCAAGCGCTGACTTATTTACATTGATGATCATTAATGTCACAATGTCAAGGAGGCTTTGATATGTGACGGTCTGACAGTTCAAACAATTCTATGATTTTTTTATTCTTGATGCACACGTTCTTTCTTTGATGTACGTCTAAACTAGCTCTATTGTGTCTGTATGGATTCTTTGTTGTACTGGGTGTTATGTCTCTGTGTATTCCAGCAGCAAACACAAACAGTAGAGTTGGTAAACTTTTTAGGTCACCGTTTTATCTTTCATTTCTCAGACAAATCATGGGCTACAATTTACCAAAGACACTATTCAGCCATCCCTAAGAAGGAAGATGGGAAAAAAAGATTCTGGGAACAGTCTCAGTTGTTGGATGGTATGGTATTTTTTTTTATATCTAATATCATTGATGTTATATGAGAACAACTGAATTGTATAGCATTTTTTAAGGACAAATTGGCTGTGATTTTTGGTTGGGTTAGATTTATTTCGATTTTAATTTCAAGCTAAGTCAGTTTTATTTATGTAGGACTTTTAACAATACAGACTTTTTCAAAGCAGATTTACAGAAAATCATAATGTTAATGTTTATCTTAATATTTTCATGTCTTGTTGTTGCATTTAGCAGATTAGAGCTGGACAATAGTATAGTTTATACTATTTATTTTACAATTATATAAATAATCCAGCAATTAAGATTTACTATATAGTACATAAATATTATGTGAGTTTACAGATGTATGCAGTTAAAAGTTACTGTATATATCCAACTTTATATATAGAGCTGTGTGATAATATAGCTTACATTTTGCAATAATACTAATATTAATTTTTTTTACATTTTTTTTCTCTTTTGGTGCTTTTGGCAGTGTGGGCAGGTGCCAAATCCTGCCTAACTTAATTAATTAGTTATTAAAAAATAATGCGAAATAATATAAATAATATTTTAGTGCAGTTAACGCACTGGCCCCGCCCCCAGACCTGTCTGTACGTCATCTTACATTTCATACAGTGAATGTTGACAAATATGATGCAGGGCAACAACTCCATTACGCCCTAAAATTCAAGATATTGGGGCAAAAAAATGCCCTTGTATGAGTTTTTGTCTCATATTTATATCATATGATAAGCAATATCACACCAGCAACGGGA